TAATTGACCTTAGAAGGCTAGGGCCAAAATGTTGGCTTTCCTTGTAGCCCTCCTTTTTCTCTAATTTTGGTCTGCAAACTTAGGTTGTTAACCATCCAGAGGACAAGCTTATTGTTATTATCAAACGATTTAGGCTATCAAGCTTAACCTCACTATCTCACTGCATTTCGAAATTATCTTTCTTGATTTCCCTTTTCCATCTTAATATCATCAGAGAAAGAAAATATACAGAGAGAGACTAAACCAGAATTTTAACCAGCAATGTTTATACTTGGAATTCTCCTTTAAATAGGGTTAGGCATAGATGGAAGTTCAATCCCTGTGGAACACAGAGTTTTAATGGATAACCTTGGGTAGTGCTGTCTCAGTCAGTTCACGATTCATTTATTGCCTCTTCTAACACACACTTATTAAACACCTACTGTGTGCTAATCACTATACTGAGCTTCGACTACCACACAGAATGAGAGCTCCTCACAGAGGGTGTGTACCTGTCTTCAATCTCCATTTCCTGGAACAGCTCCTAGCACATGGGAAAAAGTCAACAAAAGCCAGCCTTTGTAGAGTTCATATTAACTCTATTCTTGTTTAGCTAGCAGTTTTTTTAATGGTGAAAAAAATGTGTATTTAGAATTAGGCAGGTGGACTCAGTTTGGATGATGCCAGTTTGGTTGGCAACTTCCACAGTGTTGTCATCAGGAGCCAGTCAGACAGACGCCTTCTCTCCATCAGGCTGGTCAGCATATTGACCTTGGCATTGACATTGGCCATGTTAGTGTCATAGAGCTTCTTCACCCTTTGTTTGATCTGGTGCTTGTTGGCCTTGACACCCAGAATGCATGTACTGTTGTCTTCTGTCTTCCTCATGCTGGCTCCGCAGTCAGGGGAATTTGATGACGGCACAGGGGCCAAGCTTGTTTCTCCTGGGGGTGCTCTTCTGAGGGTATTTGGGCTGCACCTGGAGCCGCAGTGTCTTGGGACAGCAGAAGGTGGCAACATGCAGATCTTCTTGTGGGTGTAGATGCCTTTCAGCACTGCCTCTTGCCCTTTAGAGCTTTGGCTTTGGATCAGCTTTGCGAGGAGCAGGAACTTCCTTCTTGTCTTCAGCGCCATCTTGGTTAAAAAATATAACAGCACTTTATGCCAACAAAATTGGAGTTAAATGGATCTCAGTGTAGCTTAAAAACAGAAAATGTGAGAAGAATGGTTGATGGGCAGCCACACGCTGGAGAGACGTAGGGAGAGAAGCGAGGACATTGTTGTCCTGCTTCCCACTTCGTTGTCCTGCTTCCTCCTGGTGGTAGGGACAGTAGGAAGGTCCATTCTCATAGGTGGTTTATGGAATAGTCTTCAGGGCTTCGGGGCTCTCTTTTTAGCTTTGGTTAGTCAGAGGCTGAAAGTTCCAAGTTACCAGAATTTAGTCAGAGTTGGCTGTGTTTTTGAAAAATACCCAATATCATACAACATTCATAGAGTGCTGCAGTGCTTGAAGCTTCAGGTTGGGATATTTCTTCCCCATACCCCCTCTTTCCCTTCTTCTCTTCTTTTCCCTCCCTTCTCTTTCCTGACAACCTGAGCAGTCCCAAACCCCCTATTGTCTTGTGGAGGTGGCTGCCTGTCTCAGAACCTCTTTTGAAAGTTTTGTGCTATTGTCTCTTTGTTTCTTCTTTATAAGAGAGTCTTTATCTTGTAATCTGAGTAACTACTTTTAAGATTATCATACACAATGTATTAACTATTGTTATTCTCTTACTATTTTCCTGTGAAATTTTGTTCTATGTTCTAATAATTAATTGCCAAAGTTTTTAAAAGTCCAGGAGGGTATCCACATAACCTTATCTGGGCAAAATGATTGGCATTGCTGATGGTCGGTCATAACTCCACTTCTCCATTGGAAGTGGGCTCAAAGAACAAGCCTACTTCTGTTCTTTAGAAATATTGTTAACCAGCAGTCTATAATATTCTGAGGACAAAGATTGCTCATTTCCACTCTCCAAGTACTGTATATTTCATTTATGACAATCAAGTGAAATTCATCATCCAAAAAGATGACTTATTTCATCAAATTGACAATTAATTTATTTTCTATCTCTTTCCCTCAGAAAGAGTGAAAAAAATCATTAAGTAAGTCATAATTGCCAAGAGGCGTTTTGGTCAGAATGGTAAATTTGCACAGGGCTCTTTTAAAACATGTAAGTGCTGAAAAGTGCAATTTCCCAAGAAGTCCTGAGGAGCTGGAGAGAGTTTGAGGTTAATGTTTAGATTTCAGTCATTCCTGCTCCTCTTGTTATCCATTATTACAGTCATCAAGGATTAACACTCTTGGGACTGCAGTTATGTCCTGTTGGGGGCTCTCCCAGGAACAATTCTATTAATACCACTTTTCGTCTTCCTAGGTGCAAATTCAGGAAACGGTCAGGGAAAGAATCTCCCTCAGCCAGATGCCAACTTTCTCGGAGCCTACTGGGGAGGAGCCTCCACTCAGAGGGACCACAACGAATTTCCTCTCCAACACAGGAAGAAGCCATGAGGAAGATGCATCATCGGCCCAATACTTGGAGGTAGAAAGCTGTCCCCAAGGTCCAGAGCAGGAAGAAAAACAAGACAGAGACAGCACCACAACTGGAGGTTCCTGGGCAGACCTAGAACATGAGTTGAGCACCCCAAAAACTAATGGTGGAAATATGGCCCTGGCTGTGCTTGCAGGGCCTCTCTCCCAAGATGCTAGCGCTGAGCCCAGGGAGTCTGAGGCCTTCTCTGTTGCTTCCCCTGAACCCACAGATACTGCCCCCACCTTGGAAAATGTGTGCAGTGGGTTAAGAGACAGAGAAGCTGTGTGTGTGATGGAGTGTTTTGAAGCTGGTGACCAAGGAACATGTTATGATACCATGGCTTCTCCTGCTGGAACACCAGTCGATAAATATTTGCCTCAAGATATTTGCTCCATGGACTCTGAGCTGACAGAAGGTCAAAGCAAAGTATGTGATTTATGTTCTCCTGATGACAAGACACTGGCAGTTCTTTTCCAAACACGAGATCCTGTGCCTCCACAGTCCACAGGTGGCAGCAGCAAGGATAGAAACACAGCAGTACCCCCTCTTTTGGTCAGTGCTTTTACCTGGAATGTGTCACAGGAGGCCACCAAAAGTGGCTTAGACAAGGTGGAGGATTCTGCTCCTATCTTGTCCTCTGTAGCATCAGCTGGCTGGGAAAGGCGGAGCCCACAGCACTCAGAGGTGCTTGCAGGAGCCCAGTCCCTTTCTGTTGAGAAAAAGTCCTTTGTACACATTGAACAAGGTGGCGAGATTCCTATGACCTGTGCCTTAATCACCGTAAACACACCAGCCAGTCCTAGTTCAGTTGTAAATTTCCCTCAGGAGAAGCTAATGGCATTAACAGCTAATGCTGAAAGTCTACAGGAGACCAGAAAGACTGAGGACATATCAGCTGATATTATTGCCACCAAAAGTCACCTAGCCAAATATACTGTTTCTGTGAACAACCTTCCAAGTGGTGCACAGGAGAACTCAACAGGGGTGCCAGATGAAAATGACCTCAAATTTCCTTCCAACGTACAGTTGGGTCCCATTTTAAGTGGTCCCACAACTGAATCTATGAAAGAGCTACTTTGCTTGCCCCCCAGTGTGCCTGGAGTCTGTGGCAGCCTTGTTCCACTGCTCGTGGAGGGAGAGGGCTCCTGTAACAATTCCTCTCTTCAGACTGATAACCAGGCTAGAAATGAGAGCCAGATTGTGGTCAGAGTAGACAGAAGCCCTGAAGAGGATTTCCAAGAAAAAGGAAGTGAGATGGAGAAGGGACTCCAACCAAACAGCCAGTCGCTCCAGAGTTCTTCTTTAGCAGATGATTTCCAAGAAAGTTTGTTCCCCACTTCTGCGACACAAGACGAAGCTAGCCTGGTGCCCTTTGAGCACTCCCTAGCAAACTGCAGAAAGGAAAGAGGACATATAGCAGGTGTGGGGACCAGTGTTTCCACGGTAGCAGAAGCAATGGTAGAAAAAGACAGCCAGGCACTAAGCAATATTCTGTCACTCTCTGAAATCCTGCAGGAGGAATCTGAAGAGACTGGTCCAGGACATTGGAAAGCAGACAAAAAGCTGAAGATTATAACCCTAGAGGCTTCAGTTTCTGAAATCTGGCCACCAACACAAGTAATGGAACTTGAGTACATGGAGGCAGGGCCTAGTCCCATACTCCCTGATGGGCCCTGGGCTCTACCTGAGGCTCCACAGGCAGAGGCTTCCTTAGCAGAACAGGCTCACACAGACACAGAAGTCTTGGTTCCCAGTCCTTGGGACAAGACTGGTCCAGCCCTTGCGGACCACAGGGAAACCTGTGAGGGCAATGTTCTCACTTGTACCACATACCAGAGGGGATCTCAGGATCTGAGCCAGCCAAGCTTCCTGGAGTCATCTGTGGATGCTATTGGTGAAAAAGAATTGTGGGTCACAGATTCGTTATCAGAGGCATCTGGAACTGGGTGGAAGGGAAATGCTAATAGTGTGAGTCAAGCCCAGGAGGAAACCCAGGTCCAGGCAGATCACTTAGCCTTCTTTAAACAGTTTCTGGCCTTCCCTGGCATCCTGGAGTCCTCTGTCGATCCCACTAATGACACAAGTACGGTGGAGCACCCTGGGGCTGAGAAACTAGAGCCCTCTGATCTCACCCTGGGGGTCTCCAGACAGGGGGGAGAATTGACTGATGGAAATTTGGACCAGAAAGTAGAAGTCCAACCTGCCATTCTGCAAGTTCCATGTCCCCCAAACGGTGGGGGGACCATTCCAAATGAAAACAGAATCAACCAAGACCAAGTAGACAGCAAGGGAGAAGAAGCTCAACAGAGTCATTGCAGTGAAACAGAAGTGGAAGCCCAGGCTGCCATCTGGCAAGACCCATGTCCTAATGCAGCTGAGCAAGGAATTCCAAGTGCATGCAGCATGGGCCCAATACAGGTGGGCAGCGACAGAAGCTCAGAGGAGGCGGACCAGAGGAAAGAGAACAAAGCAGTGTGCGTTTCTCCCACTTCATCTCCTGCTAACTGTCTTACAAGAATGACTCAGATGTCTATTGAAGTTGATTCTCATGGATCCACAGGCCAAAGTCACGATGACTTGACTGAGCCCAGTAGCCATCACTATGAGTTTCCTGACTCAAAGGAAAGGGCAACTATTGAGGACAAGTGTAGGAAGCATGTGCCCTCTTCTAGTGGCCTTATGCACCTGCCTGGCTTCACATCTCCTGAAGGGAACACCACACACTTTCCCATAAGCTGCAGAATTGCGGAACTGAAAGGAGAGGAGCCTCAAAGCGGGGGACTCAAACTCTCAAGCTCATCCGGCTCCACCTCAATGACTTCGGCTTTCATTTCAAGGGAATGTGAGTCAGAGGAATGCCCTGAGTTCCTGCAGGACCCGTGGCAGAAGGGCTCCACCTTGATCAGTGGAGAAAGGCCAAGGGAGGAGAAGCCCAGCCATGTGGCCACACAGATTGGCAAAGTACTGGGGGCTAGATTAGCAGTGCCCGGAACAGAGGAGGTCAAGAAGAAGCAAGAAACTTCAGGAAGTGGACATTTAGCTGAGGGAGTAAAGAAGAAAATACTGTCCAGGGTGGCAGCCCTGAGGTTGAAATTGGAAGAGAAGGAAAATGTCAGAAAAAACTCCAGCCTTCTTAGAAAGATTCCTAAACTAGAAAAATCATTGTCACGCACAGATGAGAAAAAAGACCCAAGAAAGGTACCTTGCAAAAGAGAAGGGAAAGGTGAGGCTCTGTTGCTTCTGTTGTTGCTGAAATTTGGGTTTGTGAGATCAGCCGTGATGTTCTTAGTTCCTCTTGAACCTTCCACAGTGCGGGCGAGTACCCATCATGTGGACATTTGATGGTGGTGACCAAGTGGCTAAGCACTTAGATCCATGGTCCACACACTTCTGCTTACACCAAGGTCACTGGGGCCGGCGAGATAGTTCAGGGGCATAAGTGCCTGCCTGGCAAGCACAAGGTCCTGAGTTGCTCCCAGTTACCAAAAAAGAAAAGAAAAGATCATGGGCAGCTTGTTAAAATGCAGACTACTGGGCCCCTGTCAGTTTCTAATTCAGGGGAGAGATGAGCAGGGTTCAAATGTTGGTACTTCTAAACCAGATGTGGTGGTACATGCCTGTAGTCCAGCTCTCAGGGAAGCTGGGGCAGGAGGATTGTAAATTCAAGCCTGACCTGGGCAATTGAGTGATTAGCAAGACCTGTCTAAAAAGGAAAGAAAGAAAAGACTGGGGCTGTGTGAAGGCCTGGGTTCAGTCCCCAATGTAGACACACACACACACACACACACACACACACACACACACACACACACTTCTCCTGATTTCCCAGGTGACCTGTGGGGAAAAGCACACCTGTAGATTACTGCTAAAGGCTTCCTGTAGGTGTGTTTGATGGTGGGAGTGTGAGTAAGATGCCTTTCTGTTTAATTATCCTTTAAAAAAATCTATTTAAAAGAGATGAACAGAAGCATTAACCAGTGAGGCTAATTAGTATAATTAAATAGACAACACACTAGGTGGGATTTATGAAAAGAAATATCTTGGAACAAATTGGGAGTCTCTTTAATCCTCATTTCTTGTTAAAAAAAATGGCTCAGTTGAAACTTGGTTTCTCTTTCAAATTTAAGTATAAAACTTCTTTGAACTCATCCTCCCCACTCTCTAGACCTAAGCTTTGGGGTCTTAGGGTTTCAGGCCAGGAGAAGCATGAAAGCGCTCTGAATTGTAGTCACTTCTTACTTTGCCCAGGGATCTGTTCAGCCCTGAGTTCACTGCAAAGCCAGAGGCACAGCCTGACACTCGCTCTGCCTCCTCAGTGCCCCCTGCCCTTCCTGTGCTACCTGCATAGGTCAGAGGAGAACATACTGCAGCAAGGACAGAGGCCCATGTGCGCACGCTAGGGCAGAGTGCTGGCCCTCTTGGATCTGAAGGAGGAAGCTCTTCCTCTGTTAGCTGGAATCCTCGAACCTGGAGGACATGTTTTTCTTTCCTGCCCACCTCAGATGGGTCCTCAGCCCCTGTTGCTAAAAGAATTAAAAACAAATCCACCTTGTGAAGGTGGAAGTAATCAACAAGGACTTTCGTCTACAATGTCTTGCTGTTTTTAGAGACTGAATCTCACTAAATAGTTCAGACTGGCCTGGAACTGTGTAGCTCAGGCTGACCTTGAATTTGGGAGGGCTCCTCTTGCCTCAGCTTCCCAAGTGCTGAGACTACATGTGTGTGCTAAAGTGCTTGGCTAGCCCACAGCTTTTTAAACATATCTGAAGAGAATGAAGCAGCTAGGTCTGCAGCATAGCCTGTAATCCCAGGCTACTGGAGCTGAGGAGGAGGATCACAAGTTGGAGCCCAACCTGGGCAACATACAGACTTAGCAAGACCCTGTCTCAAGGCACAAATAAAACACAGCTGGAGGATGTAGCTCAGTGCAAAGGCCTTGGGTTCAGTCCCCTTAATACCACACACATATATCCACACACAATGTCAGTGTTTTTAAAAAGATCTCAAAAATGGTTTCAGCTCAGAGGGCTCTAATTTATTTAGAATTCTTATCTGTGATCATTCAATACATGTGTAGGAAAAAGGATGATCCAAAATTTGAGTTGAGCTTAGCACCACCTCCTCCAGGCACAAGCAGCTGTCCAGGCAGAGAATGCAACATTCTGGGAGAAGGCGGGGCAAGTGGAGCAGGTACTGAGACCCCAGGACAACTGGAGACTTGTCCAGGTCACACCAGTGCAATAAGGCAGAGAAGGACTTCCCAATGCTGCTCCCGGCAGTGGAGCCCTTTGAGAGCAAAGATCCAAAGCAGAGGTCTTCGTAAGCATTTCAAGGCTTTTAGAGAGAAAGCTGCAACACTGTGGATTCCAGCAGAGATTAGGAGTCCAGTTGTTCAGTGCACATCTGGCATCTGCCAGGGGTTGGGCAGCCGTGGGCAAATCCTTCACCTTTGAGGACCTCCTTTTCTTCACCTGTGAAAATGGAGGTGCTGATAATAGAGATCATCCCAGAATCAAAATGCAAAGCCATGGGAAAGGTGTTTATCCATTTTAAAAATAACAATATTATTATATGAAAATGAGGCAATTTTTATGCTAAGTACCATGCTCATGAAATAAGAACTTACTTCAGACAGAGATTATTGTTTTGGACTTAGTACAGTGCCAACCTCAGAGTACTAGAAGAGGGGTTCCTGCACATGCTGCTTGTTCTCCTGTTCTCCCCAGCTGCAAGGTGGGAGCTGTGTGGTCGGGGAGCAGTCAGGGGGCCTCACCTGCACTCCTCCACATCAGCCGTGCATGGGAGTCTGAGGTGCGGCTCTCACACCCAGGCAGATCCTCCCTACCATCCTCCCCCAGCTGTGCAGGAGTTGTCCCTGGGGCCAACCTCTTGGTGAGCTGTGAGCATTTCCTTGCTAGGGAAGGATAGGAAAGCAGGTGCCTGGGACAGTGGCAGCCGCATTTCCAGGCTCCCAGCTTCCTGCTGTGATGATAAAGCAGTGTAGGCTGCTGCACTGAGAGAGCCTTTACCTGCCTGGTAAAGCTCTGCCTGGCCTCTAGCTCATTAAGGCCATGCTATTTTTTTTGGTCATGCTATTTTATAGGGTGGCCCCAATTAATTATGGTAGTGAGCACAGCGAGGATTCATGTAATGAGAATCTGCTGTGAGCACTCATCCATAAGAACCAGAGCAGATGAGAAGTGACAAGAAAAAAGAGATTTTCTTCTGGCATTTACTATTTGGGACAGCACTGTTAGTTGGGTCTAACCTTGACAATGACCTGTTTTTCTCTTTAACTTATCTTCTAATTGTCCATTATAGGTGTCTGTATGACTTTTTTTTTTTTTTTTTTTTTTTTTGAGACAGGGTTTTGCTATGCAGTTCAGGCTGGCCTTAAGCTCACTTTGTAGCCCAGGATGGTCTCAAACTCATAATGATTCTCCAGCCTCTGCTTCTACAGTGCTGAGATTACAAGCGTGTGCCACCATGCCCAGCTTATCACCAAATTCTTTAAGATCTACTTTACCAGTAAACACTCAAAGGATTTTAGTTTTGTTTTTCTCCTATTTTTATCAGCCATGAGGGCTTGATGAGAGAGATTCTACTAGGGCAAGATCTGCAATGTGGAGAGCTTGGCAAATGTGTAATTAGTCAGGGCAGCCAGTGGGCAGCAGCACAGACAGTAGAACAAGAAAAGGACAGTCCCTTGGCCACACCACCCTCAATCCTCATTCTTTCTGGAGGTGGTGCCTCTTATAAGGCCTGGACAATGTGTTCAGCCCTGGTGGCACCTTGGTCATGTCTACCCAGCAGTCTGGTGCTGCCCGGTGCCCCAAGTATATCCCAAGTTTAATGTCTCCTCCACCACATCACTGGTGTAGGTGGGCATAGTTTGGGTGGTTCTAAGAAAACAAACACTGAGTTACCTTTATTTTTGGTATGCAACACTAATACAGTGAAAATTTCACGTGTACCCTAAAAATCGCTGTTATGTCCCCCCCCCCCCCGCATTTGGCCAGACATCACGACCCTCCTACATCTCTTTCTCTTTTGCATTTCTACTCCTCGGTCTCATAGCAGTATCCTTCGCCAGGTCCCAAGGCCCCTTGCCACGGTCAGCTTTCTTTCTTCCGAAGCCTGCCATTGGTTCTGCACCCATTTTACTCCCTTCCCTCCCCCTCCAAATGTTCTTGTGTTCAACAAGTACAACAGCCTTATTAGGACCATTTAATTGTCCCGCAACCCCCATGAATACTGCTCCTGCATAGGGTTGGAGGACCTACGAGGAAATGGCCCAGAGGAGGAAGTGGGCTTGCTCAGAACTCCTAGACCAAGCAGCTGAGGCTGCATACGTGATGACGTCGGCCAGGGTGGGGGCAGTGGGCCAATGAACCAAAATGAGGCGGATGTCGATAAAGATTTGGGCCCTCCCATGATGGTGCACCTGGCTCCTGAGACACTGTTGGGAGTCTCAGGTGCTCTCTGATTGAGGGGCTTGATGCCCAACCAGTCCATTGTCACTTCCCTGGGACAACATCAGCTTTTAAACATGCATTCTGCTTCCCAGATCTCCTCTGGGGAACTGTAAGTTCCCTTAACATATCAACTATTTCAAATCTCTACTGGGAACCAGGAGAAATGGGAAGTCATTTAAAGGATCAACTATTTCACAGTTGTGAACTTTAAAGAAATGGAGTAAAAGAAATCCTATCTATTGATACCTAACTGTAGATTACATTTACTGATGTGTTCTTTGCTGTGTGGTTATGGAACTTGGGTTGTAATAAACTGACACTGTTTCCAGTAATTTCACTGTTTACCAGATCATTCTAGGGATTTGGCCAAGGGGACTGTCTTTTTCTTGTTCTACTGTCTGTGCTGCCGCCCACTGGCTGCCCTGACTAATTACACATTTGCCCTGCAAGCCAAGCTCTCCACGTTGCAAATGAAATGTGGGTATACTAGGATCTTGCCCTACTAGTATCTCTCTCATCAAGCTTTCATGGCTGATAAAGGTAGCAGATCACATTCAAAGGTCTCGGCCCGACCGAGGCGCATCATTTTCCTGTGGTTCCTATTTCCTTCAGGTAGATGCCTCTCTGCAATGAGAATGATGTCAGCCATTGCTCCAGTCCATCTTCAGCAAAGACACTGGTGAGGGGGCGGTGGAATGAGGGATGAATGTTGTTCAACAAATAATTTATTTTTAAATAACCTTTTGCATTTGTAGGTTTAGCCACATCTACCTAAATAATCCAGATTTTATTCTGCTTTTGAATTTCCAGTTTCTGATTTTCATCTTAATAGTCTCGTATTTAGAAGCATCCTTATTTTCCCTAGTATTAAAATTTATGTACACACCCCCCATTTCCACTCCTCTAAAAAGCATTCTCAAGTTCTATTTCACTTTGAACATGACAGATCTTGCACTAGCATATATA